AACATCTCCTCGTTTGAGGAGAAGTCTGCTCTGATTCTATCATGAGCAATCATTTCCCTCTTCCATTCGAGGGGAATGTAGTTTAAGAACCTGGCGTTAAAGGATGCCTGGTCTGGCGGCGTCACCATTTGGGACGCTGCTTTTGACAGTTCTAAGTAGAACTGTTTTAGGCCTTTTTCCGCTTCGTATTTGACGTTGCGGTATTTCTTTGTCGCGTTCAACGCGGCGGAGGCTTTGATGAAGGTTCTCATCAATATGTTGAGAACCTCGAGGAACATGCCCTCATCTCCTCTGAGGAGAGTTTCGTCTCGGAGTCTAATTCCGAGGTCAAATGCGGGTCCCCCTAATCCACAAATCAAGCAGTCCAGGTGGACTTCGTCAAATTGGGGACCTTTGCATCCTCGCGAGGCGAGGAATCCCAGTAGTTCTGTGAACCACTGCCAGAACGATTCCATGTCGTTCTCCCCTGACCATTTCTTGTCAGGGAATGCCGGCCCATTCTTTAGGGCTTCTGGCTTCACTCCTTCTGGGTAGGGAGTGAGTATTCTCACTTCGGCCATTCTTATGGCCTTTTCGTACCATTTCTCCAGGTACTCTTCTTGCTCCCCTGCCTTCGCGGGGTCGCTGTCCAATGGAGATCTCTCCTTTGGGGGGGTTTTTGCTGGGGGGAATCTTTCTTGCAGCATTTCTTTGGTTTCAGGCGAATTTGCCTGAAGTTGTATTTGTATTCTCTCATTGTTTTGAGAGGGTATGAATGCGTTACCTCTCTGTTCGAGAGGTCCGTCATAATTGGATGTTTGGCCGAACCTTTGGTACGTGCCAATTCTCCTTCTGATCTCTGAACGATGTCTTCTCTCGGCATCGTCTTCTCCTATCCTTGGGAGAAGGATCTCCTTAGCGTCTCTGTCGAGTCGCTGGTGATATTCCAGTGTGCTTTCACTGGTGGTTCTTTTCGTGAATTTTTCACGAGTTCTATTTATGTCCTGGACTGTGGTCCAGGGGTGTTTATTTGTTTCCTCACTTTTTTGTGAGGAGTTTATTTCCTTCAGCAAATCTGTTTGTTTGCTGATTTTTTCTGTCAACGCGTCGATTGCGTTGGCCATTCTTTCTAGAGTTATCTCTAGACGAGCCGTGCTATTATGGTTCGTTTCCTCGATCTTTTTCTGGATCGAGTTTATCGCGTTTATTATGCGCGATTCCTGGTTTTCCAGGAGGAAGTTTGGTTGGGCGAGCAGTGACTCTCCCCAGTTGACATTTCCGCTTCTGGGAGTTCCAGAATGGGTTCTTGGAGTGAACACTCCACGCTCGCTTTGTTTTGGCGAGGCCGTTGTGGAGGGTGCTTCCCTTTCATAGAGGGGTCTGTTCGCTGGTTTCTCCTTATTTTTACGTAAGGCTTCCTCAGCGAACTCCCTCATTTCAGTTCGCCTCCTCCTCATTATCTCGGAGACCTCCTCCGAAGTTGGCGACCTTGCCTTGTCTGGCATGGTGCGTGGGGGTGTAAACAGCAGAGGCTCTTTTGGAGCTTCCACGCTCTGAGAGATCCTGCTCTCAGGGCGTATTTTCGCGCCTTCTCGGGCTTTCAGCCTGAGAAGAAGTTGATCTTCACTTTCCGTCCTCCATTCGGACGGAACCTGGAACAAGTCCAGTAGTTTTTCGGATAGCCGACGCGGGGTTTCTTCCCTTTGTTTCCCTTTGTCTGCCTTTAGGGCTTGACTTGGGGACGTGATTGGGAACTCTAGGGGATAGTGGGGCCCTGGGGTTTCCTGCAGCTCTATCCGATCAGCTTTTTGGGCTGATCGTTCGGCGCTTACGCGTTTTTCGCGCAAGTCGATTACCTCGTGAGGAGATAAGGGATCTTCCCCAGCTTGGGTTAGATCGGTTTGTTGTGGAGTTCTGGGGGTATTTTGCCCCGCACTTACTCCACGTAAGTTTCTAAAGTCTTCAGGGACCAGCCCTGAAGTGGTTGCTTTTCCCGGATCGCATTGATCCTCGTCGTCATCTGACGACGGCTTTTGGTTTGAATCTCCCATGATGGGAGATTGCGGTTTCTTAATAAACCGCTCGCTTCTTTTTAACGTCGCTGCAGATGCGACCTTGCCCTTGCGGGCGTGTTTAGGCGCCATAAGCGCTTCCGAATCAGATGTTGAGATTTTATAGTTGTGGGTTGTGTTGTAAAACACACCTCATGCACTTAAAAAAGTGTGAGGTCTTTGGGGTTGCTCAGCACACAAAGCCGTAAGTGATACAAGATGATGTATTTTACGGTGGTGTGTAAGCGGTTACCCGGAGGTTCCCGCTTGTCCACGTGACTATATCTATCTAGTTTACATGTGACTCGGGGTTCGGGGCTATTGCCCTGACATCTCCTCACTCCTCTCATTACCCCCTCTCGTCGCTCCTCTTGTCACTCCTCTTGTCACTCCTCCTGTCACTCCTCTTGTCGCTCCTCTCCTCACTCCTCTCCTCACTCCTCTTGTCACTTCTCTCCTCACTCCTCTTGTTGCTCCTCTCATCACTCCTCTCCTTCCAACCCTCTTCTGCCAACCTCTGCCAAGTTATGACCTTCCACCACAGTCCCATACCCCATACTTGGACACCACTTGTACCTTCACTCTGAGATCCCATCATGGTTCTGACTTGGACTTTGACTCCACCTTGGCTTAATCCATTGCATTGGTGACCTCATCTTATGTAAACCCCATTGCCAATATTCCTCCGACTTCCAACTCCATCTCTGTAACCTCCATAACCTCCACTACCTCTGAGCTTCACAGAATGTTCTTGGCACTTTCACCGCTTGTACTGTATCTTTCGCACTTTCCCCTCATCCCTATTTGGACTACTGCTTCCTTCCATTTTAGCCAGTTAGTCATCAACCCCACTTCACCTCATCCTCCTGCCCCTCTGAGCTTTGCCCTCCCTACCTCCTTTTGGACATACCATAGAGTCCAACTCATGACCTTCAGTACCACTCCACTTCTGTAACTCCCTTTGTCTCTGTTCAGATGCCTTTGTTCTGATTTGGACCCCTTTGATTTCCTTGTGCTTTCATCTCCCCATTCTATACAGGCACTTGTACATACTTGATTAGACCCTCAGTTTAAAATCGACCAGAAATGCCCCCTAGAGACTTCCTGCTCATCGCTTCTGAAATTAAGGACCAAATGGACAAACAGCAATGGCACAGTGCTCCCCTTGAGTCACTGAGGCCAAGGTCCCTCCTTGCTAAGTCTCTGGTTCCACTCTGGAATCGTCCGCTCTTGCCCAGTTCTAACAAGCTCACATTAATTGTGAGTTCTGCCATTGACAGCTTTGCTGCCCAGTCGCATTGTATCAGAAACCCCAAACAAGGGTAAAGTGCATGAGTCCGAATGCAGGCGGGGCTCAACTAGAGGGGATCTGAGAGCTCTGGTAGTGAACCGAAGCTTCTCCAGGAAGCCCAAGTCTGCTGGGTGGTACAAGAGGCTCTAAGAAGGATGTGGCCTCAGTGACTCAGAGGGAGTGCTATGCCTCTGTTACATCTCAGTTAGTCCTTTTATTTCATGTGTCTGAGGTATCTTGTAGGAGAAGGTCGGGATTCACTCATAGAGGGACTTGGAGTAACTTTAGTTGAGATTAGAACTGAGGTACATGTCATATCCATCCATGGCCATCGCCTTCCACTACCTCTGATCCTTCTGGACTACCTCTGCTCCTTCTTCACTAACCTTGGAGTCCCCGTATTCCACAATCACCTCCGACTCCCTCGATGGTCACCACCCCCTCAATTCAATATATTACCAATGCCTCCCTAAGTACAGAGCCCTGAAGGCTTCCAGACAGCTCTGACGTCTGCTAGTGCACTCCCGCCCCTGCTGGGAAATTCACTTGCTTGCCCTGCAAGTCCACCTTTGGGCCTATCCCTCCTTCCGTTTCTGGGTTATCACCTGCCGTTCTGCTAAGTCTGTAACCCGACTCGTCAGTAATATTCAATCAGCTAATGTTTAACTCCGTTAGCTCCGCTCCACTTGGCCCTGCCATTCACAGGCCCACCCTCGCTGTAACTATATATACTTAACTTGTACATAGGTTACACCCCAGTGATAAAATCGACTAGAGTTGATCCCCCTTTTTAGTTCTCGTTGCCAGTAAGTAAATTAGGGCACGGACATGTAACTTGGCACAGCACTCCTGGTCTGAGTCACTGAGGCCAAAGCCCTCCACCATGGAGACAACTCTTTGTCTCACTCTGGTCTCTAACAGTACAAAGGGTTCTAATCTACAGGTATATATAGAGGGAGGAAGAAGAGGACTTTAGTCAAAGTCCGAGTGATACTGACAAACACCAAAAGGTGCCGAATGATACTGAAAGGTCCCAAACGATATCCTTAATGGGGAACTGAGGTGTCAGGTTGAGGAGGGCAGAGTAGAAGGCCAGAGGATAAATGGGAACGAGAAATGGGTAAAGGGAAGTTAGCTGACTGAATGGAAAGAACAGTCATACTACAAATGGAAGGTGACTAATTTATGATGACGTGAGCAGGATCACTGGAGGATGTGGGTAGCTCCGAAGCCAGAGTTACATGTCCAAAGGATGTTGGGTGACTCCACTAAATGAAATGGGAGAGGGAATGGTTTAGAGGTATGTCACAAGATGTCAGAGATCCATTGGGAGATCACAGCAAATCCGGAGTCTCTGAATGTTCCGACTTGGGGCCGAGCTTCCGGGATGGGAGTGGCCAAGGCCGAGCGTGCCGAGACCCAGGCCAGAGCTGAGACAGTTGGGAAGGAAGGTGACATTGGGAAGTGGGGGGGTATGGTGTATGTTAGAGACCGGATGTGAGATGAAGGAAATGTCTCCATGGCAGAGGGCTTTGGCCTCAGCAACTCAGACCAGGAGTGCTGTGCCAAGTTACACATCTGTGCCCTAATTTACTTACTGGCAACGAGAACTAAAGGGGGATCACTCTAGTCGATTTTATCACTAGGGTGTAACCTATGTACAAGTTAAGTATATATAGTTACAGCGAGGGTGGGCCCATGAATGGTGGGACCAAGCGGAATGGAGCTAATGGAGTTAAACATTAGCCGACTGAATATTACCGACAAGTCGGGTTACAGGGTTAGTGGGATGGCAGGTGATAACCCAGAAACGGAAAGGAGGGATAGGCCTGAAGGTGGACTTGCAGGGCAAGCAAGTGAATTGCCCAGCAGAGGTGGGAGTGTGCTAGCGGATGTCGGAGCTGTCCAGAAGCCTTTGGGGCTCTGTACTTAGGGAGGCATAGGTAATATATTGAAAAGAGGGGGTGGTGACCATCAAGGGAGGTGGAGGTGATTGCGGAATATGGGAGCTCTGAGGTTAGTGAAGGAGCAGAGGTAGTCCGGAAGGGTCAGAGGTAGTGGAAGACAATGGCCGTGGATGGATATGACAGTGTAGGGGATGGTGAGGTTGTTAGGAAGGTGTAGTGAGGTGGGAGAGTGCAGGGTTGGGATTCCAGGATATGACACATTGATCTGGTCTGCACATAGTATTTGTATTACTTCCTGTATCATTCTCTCTGCTCATCGCCTTGCAGATGAAATGTGGTTGTGAATTTCAACTGCACACCAAGTATTCAGTGTAGTTTGTTTTCTAGCTGGCATGCTATAGCCAGTTTGATTTTATTGTTTGTGTCATTGTGGCCCATTCTAATGGTTCCAATGTTGATTTCCTCACCTTCAGAGTTGGGTGAGTATTGAGGTCCTTCATATGGGTCCTCAACTTCAAAGCTTGATGCTTCAGAGTCACCAGAGCTGTTCTCTGGTTTGTCTTCAGATGAGTCTTCCGACTCTTCTTCTGTTGCATGAGCAACTTCCATGGTGGCCATGTACCTTGGCTTTTCATTGCTCATGGCATGGTGTTTAGGGAAGTCTTTTGTTTTCCCTAATTGCCCCATTTTCTGCAAATTGGAACTGATTTTTGGTCAGTTCTCCTCAAGATGAGTCTTCCCTCCATCTGGTTTTGGGCTCCTCAGCCCTTTTCCCTGATGGGAGGGTTCTGCCACAGCTTGTAGTCATGGTGGTGGTTGTTTACCCCCTTCAGCCTGTCAATTATCTCATCTACACAAGATATTGCTCTAATCATCTCCTCATTTGGGGAGAAGTCCACTCTGATCCTGTCATGAGCGATCATTTCCCTCTTCCATTTGAGTGGAATGTGGTTTAGAAGCTGGCATTTAATGATGCCTGGTCTGGCAGTGTCACCATTTGGGATGCTCCTTTGGACAGTTCTAGATAGAACTGTTTTAAGCCCTTTCTGCTTTGTATTTCACATTGTGATATTTCTTTGTAATGTTTAACATGCCAGATGCTTTGATAAAGGTTCTCATCAGTGTGTTGAGAACCTTGAGGAACTTTCCCTCATCTCCTTTCAGGAGAGCTTCATCTCAGAGACTTATTCCAAGGTCAAATGCAGGTCCCCCTAGTCTGCAAATTAAACAGTCCAGGTGGACTTCATCAAACTGAGGGCCTTTACATCCTCACAAGGCAAGGAATCTCAGTAGTTCTGTGAACCACTGCCAGAACGACTCCATGTCATTCTCCCTGACCATTTTTTTCCAGGCCATTTTTCAGAGCTTCTGGCTTCACTCCCTCCAGATATGGAATGAGTATTCTCACTTCACCCATTCTTGTGGCCTTCTCGTACCATTTTTCTGGGTACTCTTCCTGTTCCCCAGCCTTAGCAGGGTCACTATCCAATGGAGATTTCTCCTTTGGTGGGTTTCTCACTGGAGAGGTTTCTCTTGCAGCAGTTCCCTTGTTTCAGGTGATTCCACCTGAGGCTGTAATGTAGTTCTGTCATTGTTTTGAGAGTGTGTGTGTCTATTACCTCTCTGTTCGAGAGGTTTGTCAGTGGTGGAGGTTTGGCCAAACCTTTGGTAATGCTGAACCTCCTCCTGATTTCTGAGTGATGCCTCCTTTCAGCATCATCCTCTCCTATTTTTGGGAGAAGTATTTTTCTGCATCTCTGTCAAGTCCCTGATGATACTCCAGCATACTTTTGCTGGTTGTCCTTTTTTTGTTTCTTCACTATTTTGTGAGAGATTGATTTCTTTCAGCAAGTCAGTCTGCTTGCTGATTTTGTTGGTCAACACATCAATCACATTGGCCATTCTTTCTAGAGTTATCTCTAGACAGGCCATGTTTGTCAGAGACCAGATCCGGGATGAAAGACGACATCCCCAAAATGGAGGGCTTTGGCCTCAGCAACTTATCCCAGGAGTGCTGTGCCTAGTAACATGTCTGTGCCCTAATTTACTGACTGACAAGGAATTCTAGAGGAGGGGAAACTCTAGTCGATTTTATCACTAAGGTGTAACCTATCTACAAGTTATGTATAATAGTTACAAGCAAGTCAAGAAGGGGGCCCATAAATGGCAAGGGCCAGGCAGAGTGGAGCTAACGGAGTTACAGGTTAGCCAACTGAAAATTACCCATGAGTTGGGTTACAGGTTTAGTGAGATGATGGGCTATAACCCAGAAGTGGAAAGGAGGGATTGGCCTGAAGGTAGACTTGCAGGGAAGGCAACTGAGTTGCCTGGCGGAAGTGGGGGTGCACTTGCAGATGTCGGAGCTGTCTGGAGACCTTCAGGGTTCCATACTTAGGGAGGCATAGGTAATATATTGAATTGAGGGGGTGGTGACCATCAGGGGAGTTGGAGGGGATTGCAGAAACTGGAGGCTCTGAGGTTGATGTTGTTTCCTTGATCTTTTTATGGATTGAGTTTATTGCATTCTGTCAGGGATGCATCTGGGGTTGAGGGGGCCCAGATGCAACACCTGGTGCTGAGGCCTTTGCAGGGTGCAGAGCAGGCATGTGTACTGATGGGCCTGATGCAGGACAAGGGTCCCTGGCCACTTAGACTGAAGTGGAAAGAGTGAGAAGAAGGTTACTTCTTTGGTTCCCACCCCAGGTGCGTTTATATACATGTGGCTTGGGTCACATGAGGTCTGCCATGTCACCCTGCATACAGCTGCAGTCACCTGGTGTCCCCATGAGGGATCCTGAGGGTGTATGCTGCACATGTCATATCCATTCCCGGCCATCGACTTCCAGTCCCTCCGATTCCTCCGTTCCAACTCCGCTCCTCCCTCACTAACCTCGGAGCCCCCGTTATTCCGCAATCCTCTCGGTACCCCTCGATGGTCACCACCCCTCCATTCCAATTTATTACCTACGCCTCCCTAAGTACGGAGCCCCGAAGACTTCCGGACAGCTCCGACGTCCGCTAGCGCACCCCCGCCTCCGCTGAGCAATACACTCGCCTGCCCTGCAGAGTCCACCTTCGGGCTTATCCCTTATTGCCTGCCTTTCCGCTAACCCCATGAACCGACTCGTCGGTAATATTCAGTCGGCTAATGGTTAACCCCGTTAGCTCTGCTCCGTTCGGCTCCGCCAATTGCGGAACCGTCTCCGCTGTAACCATATATATATCCCACTTGTACATAGGTTACGCCCCAGTAGAAAAATCAACTAGAGTTACCCCCTAGGTTCTAATTGCCAGTCAGTAAGTTAGGGCACGGACGTGTCACTAGGCACAGCGCTCCTGGCAGAAGTCGCTGAGGCCGAAGCCCTCCGTTACGGAGACATTCTTTCATCTCAAGTCTGGTCTCTGACAGCACACATGCATGCTGGGATGCACCATGAAGCTGTCTGGGGCATCTGGGGCTGGGTATGTCATGCACATGTTGTGGGCAGGCCAATAGTACATAGATATGGAGAAAGTCCACATTCATCCATGTAAATAGAAATAGAGGAGAAGATAGAAAGAAGGAAGAACAAGAACAGTAAGGAAGAACAAGAAATAAAGAAGGGGGGAGAAGGGGTGCCAGGTGAGGTGGAGCTGGGTGGGAGCTGGTGTAGCCAGGTCAGGCAGGTATGCCCTGACACGTTCATAATATGCAATTCCTGGTTATCCAGGAGGAAGCTAGACTAGGTGAGTAATGACTCTCCCCAGTTCATGTTTCTGCTTCTGGGGGTTCCAGAAGGGGTTCTTGGAGTGCAAACTCTGTGCTCGCTTTGTCTAGGCAAGGGAGCTGAGGGATGTCATATCCATACAATCCCAACCTCCACTCCAGGTTCCCAGAACTCCGAAACTGACTCTGGAGCCCCACTTCCCTTCCACCACCTTCTTCTTGCCAACTCCCAAGAGGTTATCCCACCTTCAGCTCCAGCACCACCTTTGGTCTGACTCCAGACCATTCCGGGTCCAACCCCAACCTCAACACTTTCCAGATGAGTATGCAACTCTGCTCCCGACTCCAGACCTCTGCTCCGGAATCCTCTGTCTCAGAACTCTGGTCTTAGCTCCAACCTCGGACTGTGACCCCACCTCCACTTATACCCATTGTATTGGTTAGCCAATTCCATTTATTTACCTTTGCCAATATTTCAGAGTTTTACTTCCAAGTTTGGACTTTCCAGACTTACTTCAGACCTTGCAACTATTCCATTGTCCCATTTAATTCCACTATTCTCCTTCATTCCTATTTGGGCTGCTGCTTCCTTCTATTCAATCAGCTAACCATTCCCAACTCCCATCCTCCTTCCTTCCTCCTTGGGCCTTGGCCCTTCACTCCTCCTTTGGGAAACACCATTGAGTCAAACCCTTGACCCTTGGTGTTGTTCCTCCTTCCAGCTCCCTTTGTCTCCTTTTGTACTACCCTTGCTCCTTTTGATTCCAGACCCCTCCTTTATATACAATGTACCTAGTAACATGTAACCTCAGTCTAGAATTGACTTGATTCCCCCCCTAAGAGCCTTCCCCCCTCGCTAGATCCGAATTAGGGACCCCCAGGACAACCAGCAATGGCACAGCACTCCACCTGAGTCGCTGAGGCCAAGGTCCTTCCATAAGTCTCCAATTCCATTCCAGAATTGTACAAACCTGCTGTATCTAACAGGGGGGCACTTCCTTTTCATGGAAGAGTCTACTCACTGATTTCTCCTTGCTTTTACATAAGGCTTCCTCAGCAGATTCTTTCATTTTGGTTTGCATCCTCATTATCTTGGAGACCTCCTCCAAGATTGGTGATCTTGCCTTGTTTGGCATGGCATGTGGATGTATAGGGAGCAGAAGTTCCTTTTGAGCCTCCATGCTCTGGGAGATCCTGCTCTCAGGGTGTTCCTTGGTGCTTTCTTGGGCCTTCAACCTGAGGAAGAGTTCATCTTCATCTCCCATCCCCCATTTGGACAGGACCTGGAGCAAGTCCAGTAATTTGTCGGATAGTCAACAGGGGGTTTCTTCCCTCTGTTTCCCTTTGTCTGCCTTTTGGGGTTGACTTGGGGAGGCGAAGGGAGGCTCCAGGGAATAGTGGGGCCCTGGAGTTTCCTCTGACTGGATCCAATCAGCTTTTTGAGCTGATTCTTTGGCACTCACATGTTCACCATGCAAGTTGATTACCTCAATGGGAGTCCAAACAGGCATGGTCTGATAACTCAAACATGTCAATGACACTTGTGACAATTGTACCCATTGGAGGCACAAATATAATAGAGCATGCAGAGATGCTGCAGGCATCTATGCCTCTCTGAGAGACTCAGCAAGAAAAGTTGATCTCCAGAAAAGGGAGATTGAGTTACTCAAATGCAAGCTCAAAAGCATGCACATCAGCAGACCTTGCTGCCACACCCATCATGATGGGGGCCTCCCAGGTTAGGGGGAGGGGATACAGTTCTGGGCCTCATAGAGGCAGGGCACTGACCATCCTGCCACCCTGTGGGCAGGTGACCCTGTCCAGGTTGCATGAGGGCCTGCCTTCAGGAGGGTGAGCCCAGGTTGAGGGGAGATGGGAGAGCGGCAGGCAGCCAACAGCAGACCCTCAAGTAGGGACCACTGCCAGGTGGTGGGCC